GTTCAAAAGCACCTCATAGTGCAAGTAGATAAATAGGTACCGCTTCGGAGAGAAGGTAAACGGCATTTCCGTGCGCTGCTCTGGTTCGCCAGAAGCAGCTTAGTCATGCTGGCCACATGACCCGGAAGCTGGACGCCGGCTCCCTTGGCCAATAAAGCGAGATGAGTGCCGCAACCCCAGAGTCGGCCACGACTGGACCTAATGGTCAGGGGTCCCTTTACCTTTACCTTTATTCAAAGATATATAAAAAGGCGTACCCATTACAAAGTATCTTTTTATAATACAGTGGTACCTCGGGTTAAGTACTTAATTCGTTCCAGAGGTCCGTTCTTAACCTGAAACTGTTCTTAACCTGAAGCACCACTTTAGCTAATGGGGCCTCCTGCTGCTGCCGCACCACGGGAGCACGATTTCTGTTCTCATCCTGAAGCAAAGTTCTTAACCTGAAGCACTATTTCTGGGTTAGCAGAGTCTGTAACCTGAAGTGTATGTAACCTGAAGCGTATGTAACCCGAGGTACCACTGTACACTGAGATAAAACTCTAGGTGGCTTCCAACATATATAAAAACATTAAACATTTTTTAAAAAACTAAAACAAAAAATCCTTCCCTGTACAGGACTGCCTTCGGGTGTCTTCTAAATGTTGCATAGTTACTTATCTCCTTGGTTCTGGGTTCACATAAAGTCAGATTAAAATAGGGATGCCCAGAGTCGTCCATGACTGGACCTAATGGTCAGGGGTCCCTTTACCTTTACCATGCCCTCCCAACATTTCTCCGATGAAAATAGGGACCTTCTGGGTTCAAATCAGAAACCGGGATGGTTTCTGTAAATCCAGGGCTGTCTCTGGAAAATAGGGACACTTGGAGAGTCTGTAAGCGGGGATGGTGAGAGGAATGGCCTGGGGAGAGGAGAGGTAGCTGGGAGAGAGTCCTGTGGCCCAAAGGGAAAGATCGGGGGGGGGGGGGCTGTGTTCCCTGTCCCTTGTATAAGGTGACTCACCAACATAAGGGAAGCCAAAAGATACTTCTGAATCAAGCCTTCTTCGCTGCTTCTATGTTTCCAAATTGTTGCAAAGAGAGCCTGTTCGTGTTAATTCCCCAGCTGGAAAAGGTCTGTATACAGATGGTTAAGTGGCCAGGTGACCACTAGATGGCAGAGTGGTGCCACAAACAGGGGGAGATAAACATTCACTTCTATTACACACACACACACACACACACACACACACACACACACACACACACACACACACACACACACAGAGTGCTTTTTTCTGGGGGGGACGGATACCCCTAAACATTTTGTGAGTCTTTGTACCTTTGTCCATTTACTGTATTTCCCCCGAATTGCACTATAAAACGATGATTTTCTTGAGTCAAAATGAGAGTACCCCTAAACATTTTTTAAGAAAAAAAAGCACTGGTAATATAATATACAGTGGTACCTCGGGTTAAGTACTTAATTCATTCCGGAGGTCCGTTCTTAACCTGAAACTGTTCTTAACCTGAAGCACCACTTTAGCTAATGGGGCCTCCCGCTGGTGCCGTGCCGCCAAAGCCCGATTTCTGTTCTCATCCTGAAGCAAAGTTCTTCACCTGAGGTACTATTTCTGGGTTAGCGGAGTATGTAAGCTGAAGTGTATGTAACCCAAGGTACCACTGTAATATACAATACAATACAATACAATACAATATACTGGAATTGTCTGTCACTACTTCAGTAAAGCCAGACTTAAATTGTCAAAGCAGAAAAACATGTGAGTAGAAGAGGGGAAATAATGGGCTTCATGGCCACTCTAGTAGTAGCAGTAACATCAATTAATTGGCTAAAAACTGCAACAAGAACCATAAGAACAGCTGTATCCAATCTCAATTATACTTAGAGTAGAACAGTGAAAAATTGTGCGCATGACTAATTTAGATCCGTTAATTTCAGTGGGTCTGCTATGGGTCAGACTTAATTGGATGTGACCCAATAATACCTGTTTCCCTTAGCTAAACACTGATGATCAATATTTTAGTAGAGATTTTCTGATCACAAATCAGTGTACAGGCAGGGAAGAAGTATATATCTTTCCTGTGGAAATTGGGTACATGCTGAAGCAGTTTTAGCAAGTAATCAATCGTAAGTAGCAGCATATAATAAACCATGCGAGTCCTTTCTGGAGAAAATAGGAGGCCAGAAAGTCTGATTAGGGAATATCATCTTCCCCCAATTGCAGCTTTCAGTTGTGGATCCTTGGCAGTTAAACCCTACAGTAATAATGCTTGCAGGATACTTGATGCTAGCCCAAAGGCTGAGAAATTAATCAACCCAGTTCATCGGCTAATCATAATATTAATGATACTGCAAGTAATATTAAGAATAATACAAATTGTTCTGCATGACTTTTTGTATTTTCTGCTCACACATCAGTGATCGGTAATGGTGTGGAAGTCAAGATAATGTAATTGGGAGGGAAATCTATTGGGTAGGGAGAGATCATGCAAGGTAGGAACCCACCCACCCCGCATAATTATCAAACACAGGGCAAAACAAAATCCACGGCTTTCTGGCAGCTGGCAAGACATTTTCTATGACACCCAGAGAAACCATCAGACACCATTTCATCCTTCTCTAGGCCAGGCAGCGGCCGCATTGAAACACCGCAGACCGCAATCCGTTTGCAAAGTCTATCTCCAGCCTGCGGAATCGCTCTTGAGGAGAAATCAATCTGCTATTAAAAGTGTCTTGTCAAAATTAAAAATGGGAAAGCTCCGATCTGGAAGGAAAACCTGGTGTTGAGAACCACTTGTTTGGAGTGCAGATCAACGGAGTTCTTTGGAAGGTGTCTGTGCTGAAGCAGGCTTCACCAAGCTGGTGCCCACCAGATGTTTTAGACTGCAACTCCCATCAGCCCCAGCCAGCTGTGCATCTTTTGTGTGTGGGGGGGTTGTCAATGGGGACTATTTATAACTTCTAATGGTTACAAGGAGCCCATGACTCCCTTGTTACAACAGCTCAGCTGGTCTGTTTCTGGACACAGTTGAAAGTGTTGCTTATGACCTATAAAGTCTTATATGGCTTAGGTCCAAGCTATCTGAAAGACCATATTCTCTCATACAAACCTGCCCAGGTTTTGAGATCTTCAGGGGAGGCTCTTCTCTCAGTCCTCCACCCTCGCAGGTACACTTGATGTGGGTGTAGGAAGGGCCTTCTAAGTGGCTGCCCCCAGACTTTGGAACTTCCGCCCTAGAGAAGTTAGACTGACTCTCCTTGCCTTGTTGCCCTTTTTCCACAGGTGAAGACTTACTTGTTCCAGCAAGCTTTGGGGAACCAACTGGCTTTAAGGAAAGGGCTGGTGCTGTGAAGTGTTCATTGTAACTACCTGTATGTTTTAATAGATCTTTCCCATATCAACATTGTTTTGATTCTAAGTAAAGGTAAAGGGGCCCCTGACCATTAGGTCCAGTCGTGGCCGACTCTGGGGTTGTGGCACTCATCTCGTTTTACTGGCTGAGGGAGCCGGCGTACAGCTTCCGGGTCATGTGGCCAGCATGACTAAGCCGCTTCTGACGAACCAGAACAGCGTACGGAAATGCCGTTTACCTTCCCACCGGAGCGGTACCTATTTTTCTACTTGCACTTTGACGTGCTTTCAAACTGCTAAGTGGGCAGGAGCTGGGACCGAGCAACGGGAGCTCACCCCGTCGCGGGGATTCGAACCACCGACCTTCTGATCGGCAAGACCTAGGCTCTGTGGTTTAACCCACAGTGCCACCCGCGTCCCTTTTTTTTTATTCTAGTCAATGTTTAATTGTGTTGCTTTGAACGTATGGTTTATATTTGACTTCATCAGCAATGTTTTATTTTGGGTTGTTATATTTGACATTTTAACATGCTGTAAACCGCTTTGAGATTTTTTTTCCCTCTTAAGAATATAAAGCGGTATAGAAATGGGATAAATAACAATAATAATTAATGATTGTTTCCCCCCTCTATGTTTTTAGCTGTTTCTACTTTACCTGTAAGCCACCTTGAGTCCCACTCTGGGGGAAAGGTGGAACATCATCGTCATCATTATTATCAACAACAACAACAACAACAACTTCATTATGAAGTTCCAGACATGTAACAAATCACTCCTGGCTTGCAGTATTTGATGCAATGCAGACGTGCCCCCAACACCTCTGTCTCTTTCTAACTTCTATTTCTCTCCTCAATATTTTGCAAAGCAATTTGTCTGTCTGTCTTCTGTGCATTCCAACACCTCTCAAGATATCGCCAGCTAATTTGGCACGGCAGTTCTTGAGATGGAGCAGCGAGTTTCGGTCCACATTTCGATACCTTAGGATACTATTTTGAACCGAGATGGTGTGCCACGATAGGAGGGGAGCCCTGCAGTTAGGAAGGGTGTGATATTTTCATTTGCGAATGAGCAGAAAGTGTACACTTCCTCCAGCGTCTGAGATGAAGGCCGCAATAAGAGCAGCTGGCCGCGTGTCTGCTGCCCCCAGCCAATTTCACTGATCCCAAGCCAGCATCTAATGGTGCAATAATGGCCTTGTCATTGTCACCGTTATGCTATTAGAGGGGGCAGTTGGGATCAGAGGATTGGCTGGGGGCAGCCCACGGGGCAGAGGCTGCCAGTTGCCGTACCCTCCTCTTGGAAGTGCAGAGTGATTGATTCCCTTCTGAGTCCGTGGAAAAGGGGGGGGGGAGGGTTATCAATCTAAGCCAGCAAGCAAATGAATCAGTTGCTGCCTAATGTACTCTTGGCTCCTGGCTCAGTTAGCTCAGCTGAAGGTCAGACCGTTGCCGCAAGACTCATTTCTCCTTACAGAGCTTAAGAGAGGAGCAGCAGGAGGGAGAGGTCCCACCTACACAAATTGGCGTTTCGTTGGAGAATAGAGGGGAAAGCTGCATCGAGAGCCAAAATGTTTTATTAGAGAATCATCGAGTTTGAACGGACCACGAGGGTCATCTAGTCCAACCCCCTGCAATGCAGGAATCTTTTTGCCCAACATGGGGCTCGAAACCACAACTCTGAGATTAAGAGTCTCATGCTCTACCAACTAAGCTACCCTAGCTTCTTAGTCATTGCATTTACTACTACTACTACTACTACTACTACTACTACTACTAGAGACGCGGGTGGCACTGTGCGTTAAACCAATCAGAAAGTTGGTGGTTCAAATCCCTGCAACGGGGTGAGCTCCCATTGTTCAGTCCCTGCTCCTGCCAACCTAGCAGCTCGAAAGCACGTCAAAGTGCAAGTAGATAAATAGATACTGCTGTGGCAGGAAGGTAAACGGCGTTTCCGTGTGCTGCTCTGCTTTGCCAGAAGCAGCTTAGTCACGCTGGCCACATGACCCGGAAGCTGTACGCCGGCTCCCTCAGTCAGTAAAGTGAAATGAGTGCCGCAACCCCAGAGTCATCTGCGACTGGACCTAATGGTCAGGGGTCCCCTTACCTTTACCTTACTCTGACTGGCAGCAGCTCCCCAGGGTTTTCAGACAAGGATGCACTCCCAGACCTGCCTGGAGAAGCCAGGGATTGATCTTGGGACCTTCTGCACCCAAAGCAGATGCTCTAACCACTTAGCTATGGCCCTTCCCCAATCCATCATGTTTACCTATATATATGTATGTGCTGAGTCAGTTCAGATTGATGGGGTGGGGTGGGGGGAATGATTGTGTACACCCAGCTTCATCTTCCTTTCCCTGTTTTGCGTGTTGACGGGTGCTCCAGGTGGCAGGTTTGGCTTCCCAGATCAGGCTGTTAGGTGTTTAGCATGCAGGGCTCGTTTCTGCTGAGTCACTGATTGCAGGTGAAGCCTTTTATAGCAACAGAGGAGAGAGAAGGATGAAACGGAATGCAAAAAAGCGTGACTTAGAGAAGAAAGGAGAGGGGGAAACCCCACCTCTGTGGCCTTAACATGTGCCAGGACTTCCTATGGCTCAGCTGCCCCCTTGCATCCATTTCCCAGCGCTGGGCTGTACAGAACGCTGGAAGCAAGGAAAGATCAAAGTGTTCCTGAGCTGGTGCAAAGTGCATTTTCTTTAGCACTGGGAAACTATAGCAAAACCTTTTAAATTAGGGTTTCTTGGGAAAGGTTCACCAGTAGGAGCCTTCTGGACTCAACCAGGGCTTGCAGAAAAGGGTTCCCTTTAAGCCCCAACAGTCTCCTTAACAGAGAGCAGAGATTCAAATGCCAGCTAGTGAGCCTCCAGGTTTATCTATCTGACCCTCGGTGCTCTCTCCAGGCCACGCCCCTTCTCTCCAGGCCACGCCCCTCACCACTCTTGCTTCATACCCTGTTTTTGCCTGGCTGAAATATTCACTTGAAATCTGAAAATGCCGCTATTTTATTTTATTTTTAAAATTTCTATACCACCCTTCATCCTAGGTTCACAGGGCGGCTTACAACACGACAACAGCACATGCCATAGTAACAAACAAAAACAATACCCGCCCAGCAGTTCAATGAGCCATAGGTTGTTTAATCAGCCAAAGGCCTGGGAGAAGAAGTATGGTTTTTGCCTGGCACCTAAAGATATGTAACGAAGGCGCCAGGCGAGCCTCCTTGGAGAGAGCATTCCACAAGCAAGGAGCCACCGCAGAAAAGGCCCTGTTCTTGTGATGCCGCCATCTGGACCTCTGGTGAAGGAGGCTCACAAAAAAGGGCTCAGATGATGCCTGGATAAAGGGGTGTGTGGAAACTAGCCTGCCACACAAAGCTAAAGTTTATGTTCATTGCTCTGTCCACTTTTGCCTCTGGCTCTGCTCACTAGGCGACTGTGGCCCCTGGTAGGTTGCTCATGTGGCTCGCAGAATGAAAAAAAGGATTCCCAGCACTGGCTGAAGCTCTCCATCCGCTCCAGATGATTGCTGCTGCAACATTCCACACTGGCTGCTTTTGGGGAGCCTTGCGTCCTGCTAGGATGTGTATCTTGCTTCACAGTGAGCTGACCATGGTCCTGCTTTCTGAGAATTAGCCTGTACTTCCGCTACATTTATCCAAAAAGCCCCCCTGCAGAATCCAGCCTAGAACATGATAGGAAAGGGCGGCGATCCTTTTGAATTCTGCAACCGACTGTACCTTCTAAGTTTTTGTTGTTATTGTTCATCCGGCAGTGTGGTAGCCTAGAATTCTTTGGTGGTGGGAGATGTGCTTCAAATATGCTTAAAGGCAGTGTATGCAGCCATAGTATCTCAGAGCAGCCTACCTCACAGGGTTCTTGTGAGGATGAAACAGAAAAGGGGAAAAACATTTTGTGCCACTTTGCAGTCCTTGGAGCAAAACACAGTAGTAGTAGTAGTAAAGGGACCCCTGACCATTAGGTCCAGTCGTGACCGACTCTGGGGTTGCGGCGCTCATCTTGCTTTATTGGCCAAGGGAGCTGGTGTACAGCTTCCAGGTCATGTGGCCAGCATGACTAAGCCGCTTCTGGCGAACCAGAGCAGCCCACGGAAATGCTGTTTACCTTCCCGCATCCCTTGCCAGTCAGAGTAGACAATACTAATCTAGATGGACCAGCGACCTGGCTTGGTATAAGGTAGCCTTCTACCTTACTTTGGCTGAAGGGAAGGGCAGTAGCTCGGTGGCAGATCATCTGCTTTGCATGCAGAGGGTCACAGGTTCAATCCCTGGTTTCTCCAGGTAGGGCTGGGAGAAATGGGGAAACCTACCATTGATTCTGAACCTTCTGCCCCCATTCCTGTGTTTATGCTTCCACTTTCCTCTCCCTGGCCTGGGGACAAGGTGCCACCTCTATTTACAGCCCTTTGGGGAAGAGAAGTGGTGTGATCACCACATTCTATTCCTGCCACACACACGTGCCTGTCTGTTCCAAATATAGCCCTCTATTATCTGAAATGCCTCTGATTGTGTCCAGGGGTGTGAACGAATGCATTTCTTCGTGTGCAGCGAAGAAGAGGTTCTGTCCTCTCTCTTCTTGACTGCCTGACTTGACGGAAGGACCGGCCTGAAGTCTTCTGGACCCAGATGCTGTTGGCAGAGGGGAGAGGAGTCTGCAAAAGTCAACATGTCTCTCTTGCGGACTGATCTGGCCGTAGAAATTGGTCTCAGATACAGGGAGGTATATAAGGAAGCCAAACCCCCGCCCCCCATGAGAAAAGATTATACAAATCCTCTTTGTTGACCATCCCCAGTAGGGGCTGCCAGCTTCATCCTAAAAGTGGGGCAGGGGGCTGCCCCACACCACTGTGAAAAGCCCTGGGTGGGAGATGTTAAATTGTTCTTATATGCAACCACAGCGGCAAGAGTACTGTTAGACCAGAAAATGGAAGCAAGAAGAAATTCCGACGAAAGAAGAATGGCAGACGAAATTAATGGACTATGCAGAATTGGACAAAATGACAGGAAGGATTCGAAACCTGCGGGACCAGAGATTTACAGAAGATTGGAAGAAGTATATGAATTATTTGAAGAGCAACTGTAATCCACAAATTACGCTAGTAGGACTACAAGAAGTTTTGTAAGGAGAAATATATGAAATGTTACAAAGTAGAAAAAGACAGAGAAGTTGGTTATGAGTTTGAAATGTAATAGGGAAAATAAGAAATGCATACTAAGAGATTAGATTGGAAAATTTTCAGACAGGACTGATGGAAGTCAAAAAAATTGAATAAGATGTAAAAGTATGTTTAATTACTGTTGAAAGTGGTATGTTAAAAAAACTAATAAAAATTTATATATATATAAAAAGAAAAGCCCTGGGTGGGTGGGGGTGTCAGATGAAACCCCCCTGCCTGAAACCCACAACTGTGGTGATGCTGAGCTAGGAGGTCCAAGGCGGCCTCACTCTGCCCACAGCAGCTGTCCTTGTCTCTACATCTTTAGACCCTCTGGACCGGGGGAGGGCAGCCCACCCCCTCCCTCATAACACTAGACTTCATGTACATCCCACGAAACAGAAAGTTAGAAAATTCAGGACCAATAAAAGAAATCCCTTGTTCACGCAGCACAAACTATGGAACTCCCTGCCACAATAGGCAGTGAACGCCAACCAACCTGGATGGTTCGAAAAGAGGATTATGAGGGGGTTGGACTAGACGACCTGAAGTTACAGAACACGACCCTTTGGGTCCCTTCCAACGCTACAAGTATATGGATTCTATAAAATCTATGGCGCGACCACATAGGGAATGCTGCGTACAGTTCTGATAGCCTCATATCAAACAGGCTACATTAGAGTTGGAGAAGGTTTAGAAAGGGGCAACCCCAATGATCAAAGGGTGGAAGGCACTCCCCAGTGAAGAAAGGCTGCAGTGTTTGGGACTGGTTCAGGGTAGCCTCATAAGAAGGGCCCAGCTGGAACAGGCCAAAGGTTCTCCACTGTGGCCAGAAATACATTTCCGGCAAGCAAGACTGGGAGGAAACATCCGTCCCCTATTGTGTGCGCCACAATGGCTGTCATTTTATGGTACATTGCCCCTGAGCCTGGAGGCTCTATTTGGCTTTTTACTGCCCTCGACATGTCTCTTTTGGTCGAATACTTTACAGTGGTACCTCGGGTTACAGACGCTTCAGGTTACAGGCTCCGCTAACCCAGAAATAGTACCTCGGGTTAAGAACTTTGCTTCAGGATGAGAACGGAAATCGTGCTCCAGCGGCGCGGAGGCAGCAGGAGGCCCCATTAGCTAAAGTGGTGCTTCAGGTTAAGAACAGACCTCCGGAACGAATTAAGTACTTAACCTGAGGTACCACTGTATTCCCCAAGCCAAAGAGGACCCCACAACACAACAAACGCCAGTGTATATGCAGTGGTTAGACTGCCAGACTAGGAGAGCCTGCATTCAAATCTCCACTAGGCCACAAAGCTAAAGGAGTGACCTTGTAAATGAGCCTCACTCTCTCAGTCCAACCTACCTTGCAAGGTTGTTTGAGAGGATAAAAAGGAGAGCTAGCCTTGTGTTCTGCCCTGATATCCTCGGTGGAAGGATGGGAGACAGAAATGCAAGGAATCACTAGCCTGAAGTCTGGCTACTGCCAGCTTTATTTATTGCTGATTCAACTCAGGTGTTTCCCCTCCTTCTCCCCTAAATAAAAACACTGTCCATTGAGCACAACATGCCGTCACCATCCCCCTTCTCCCCAGTGCTCTGTTTCCAAGCCTCTGCAGTGTTATCTTGCCAATAAATCAAATTACCCCCATTTAAAAGGAGGAAGGAACCTGCTGCATCCTAAATGGATCGTTCTCCTGCCTCCCGTTTTTAAGCTCAAGGTCGGTCATATTGATCTTGGCGCCTCTTCTTATCCCTTTGAAAAGAAGGAGAGGGAGTTATTTTAAGTCGCCCCGATAGGCCAGAACAAATCTGAGGGTTGATAAAGAATTGCCCTGGCTGCATTTTCTTAAGAGCTGCAATTTCCAGGGCGTGGGAAGGGCAGGGGATTGCTTTTAGGGATATTAATGTTCTTTGTAAAAAGAGAGAGTGGGGAGGAGAGGTGAATAGAGTCTGATTCACCTGTGCAGAGGTTGTGATACCTTCTGAGTTTTTTGGGGGGAGGGCTGTGTGTGTTAAACCTCCACACACAAACTTAGCGTGGGGTCAGTTGTTTCATTTATTTATTTTGAAATAGATTTTATTAAGGTTTATAGAGAAACATACAAGACTTAATATCTTTTCCCTTTTTTAAAAAACCAAACCAATACTTTTATCTATATACAATAAAAACACAAGGGAGGGTAGAACTTCCAATTCCTCATCTATCTGCTATAGGCTCAGTTGTTTTAAAACAAAACCCTTGCCCATCTGAACATAAAAAACACTGAAACAGTCTAGATCGTTGTTTAGAGGCTTACACAGATACTTACAATATTCCTATTTATTGCTCTTGTAAGGGTCTCCTAACAACTCTTGGCACCGCTAACCACAGCTCCCAGAATCCTTTGGGGGAAGCCATGACCGTTTAAGAGTGCTTTGAATCTATGGTGTGGATTTGGCCTTTGGAGCTGTGTAACCCCATAACCTCCCACACTGAGAGCCGAAGGCTTTTGTCTGAGGGTGGGAGCCAGGAGAGAAGGGTTTGGGCAACCCAGGATTTCCTCAGAAGGCAGATGCGCTGTTTTGTGTGGATTCCGGCGGCCAGCATGGCACAGGATATAAGCTCTTCACAGAACCATCTGTTCAGCTGGGTCCCCTGTCACATGCGACACCATCTGCCAAACCTGCCAGGCAGGGAGGCGGGGAAGGGAAGAGTCACTATTTATATCCACCGCCAGCTCAAGGCGGCAGCAGCAAATGGACAGCGAGAAAAACTCAATGGGATACCCTTTTCACAATCCCACTGGCATCGATCTGCCCAATTTGGTAGCTTAGAACCACATAAATGTTTCTGACATTTATTTTCCTCCACTTTCTTACACACCAGGTTCCGCCATGCTGGCAACTTCTTAAACATCAGTACCAAGGTGACCCGAGGCTCATCGGCAAATGTATTTCTTTGCAAATTGCTTTTATTGTACAGATTCCAATTTCACCTGAGGAAACCTTTATTGCATGGGTAGGCAAACTAAAGCCCGGTGGCCGGATCCAGCCCAATCACCTTCTAAATCCAGCCTGCGGCAGTCCGGGAATCAGCAGGTTTTTACATGAGTAGAATGTGTCCTTTTATTTAAAATGCCTCTCTGGGTTATTTATGGAGCATAGAAATTCGTTGAAATATAGTCCGGCCCCCCACAAGGTCTGAGGGACAGTGGACCGGCCCCTCGCTGAAAAAGTTTGCTGACCCCTGTTATTGCAATGCTCCATTTTAAACAAACAAACTTCCCTGCATCTTGAAATCTAGTCTGGCAGGGTAAAGCATTAGATCCAGCCCTTTTCCTTGACTGCTAGCTTTCCACGTGCAGAGGTGCACATGGGAGAATTCTGTCATGTGATTCTGCACCTGTCCACACCTGCAAAACGAAGGGCTGTAATCCAAGGAGGTCTGTGTCATTTGGTTCTTTGGAACAAGGAAGACAGCTTCCAGTGGACTCTTTTGATAGTGGGAAGAGCAGGGGCAAAAGTTTGCAGTGAAAAGGAGGCATTCTGATCCTGTATTGGCAGTGGTGGCTGGTGCCTCTTGGAACCGATTGGGTGGAAAGCAGGGAGCCCAACAGTAGGTGGCGCCAGAGACAATGACAGGCAGCTCCAATTTATTCTAGTTCTGTCCCCATCCTCCTCCCTGGTGTGTTTCACAAGGGCAGCATTGAGACTAAGGAAGAGTGCCTCCACCCTCTGGCCTGGATGTCAGAAGGCAGGCAGGTGGGTGCTGGCTGAGGTTGGTGAGGCAGTGCCCCGCTCAGCTTAAATGGTCCAGCCTCTACTATGTATTGGGCAAACCCACATAGTATCTGATTGGCTACTGCTTCTGTGCTTGTCTTAGCCTTGCAAGCAACTGAACCTGAAAAAGAGAGCCAAACATCTCTCCAGTAGGCCCCACATGTAAGTAAAGGTAAAGGGACCCCTGACCATTAGGTCGAGTCGTGGACAACTTTGGGGTTGCAGCACTCATCTCACTTTATTGGCCAAGGGAGCCGGTGTACAGCTTCCAGGTCATGTGGCCAGCATGACTAAGCCGCTTCTGGCGAACCACAGCAGCGTTTACCTTCCCGCTGGAGCGGTACCTATTTATCTACTTGCACTTTGACATGCTTTCGAACTGCTAGGTTGACAGGAGCAGGGACCGAGCAACGCGAGCTCACCCCGTCACGGGGATTCGAACCGCCGACCTTCTGATCGGCAAGCCCTAGGCTCTGTGGTTTAACCCACAGCGCCACCAGTGTCCCCACATGTACTACCCATTTAAAACATCACCATGCCCCTTTAAACACTCCTGGCTTCCTCCCAAAGAAGCCTGGGAGCTGTAGTTCGTTAAGGGTGCTTAGAGTTGTTAGGAGACCCCTATTCCCCTCCCAGTGCTACCATTCCCGGGGGCGTTTAACAGGCAACCGCTCTTCCCAAGGAACCTTGGAAATGGTAGTGCTGGGAGAGGAATAGGGTTCTCCTAGCAACGTTCAGCACCTTTAACTAACTACAGTTCCCAGGGTGCTTTGTGGGCAGAGGCGTAATGCTGCTTTAAACGGATAGCTTGGATGTATAAATCAACACAGACCTGATCTTCATGCAAGAAACAACGCACTGAGACATATACTTGTTTTTATTAACTTTTATTTGCTCCTGACAGAAGGTAATGGGAGCTACTGAGAATCGAGCCCGCTCCTTATTTGCATAGCTCCACCCTGAATTCCATTTCTTGGTCACACCACACGGTGACAAAGAGATAGGACCCAGAAACTGATTTTTAATACATGTGTTAATTGTGTGTAAGCCACTTTGCGTGTTTGCTCCCAAAAGCATTCATAATAATGTGTTGTTTTTTTATTTAAAAAAATGACAAAAGAAATCAGCTGGGAACACGGCATATAGCCTTGGGCTAGTTATTCTCTATGGGGCACAGCTCCCATCTGTTTACATGGGGGGAACTAGCAGAAACGGTTTTTAAAACAATCTACACACATTGGTATTGCTGTAGAAATGCTGAACGACTAGACACAGTTTAATTGTGTTAACCAAAAAAAGAGAAAACCACAACTACCATTCAAAGATCCTCAAACGGATCTCCTACGATGAGATCTGGCAATTGCTTTTTTTTTTTTGTGGTGGTGGGGGAAATCACCAACAAACCAAATTAAACCAATTAAAAGTAATTTAACAGCTCGTTAACTAAAATGCCTTTACAGCTACTGTAAAAGTGACAACAGCAAAGTATTTGTTATCCCATAAAACTGATGGAGTGGAAACCAGCGGTGTGTGTGTGTGTGTGTGTGTGTAGAGAGCACAAAGGGAGAGGGGACACTTAAGGCACAAGATAGTTAATACCAAAGCATGGCGACAACTGGGGTGTTACAGAAGCGGCAAGCGAGAAGGACTGAGAGCCAGATGGCCAAACAGTTGACAACAGTTAGTGGACCACAGTGATGGGAGGTGCCTTTGCCAAAGGACAGCTTTGGTGCATTGGTGACAGGGGAAATCACCCACTGAAGTCAATTTTACATCATGCTTATTAAAGGTTCTCCTCACTCCGGTGACTGGTGTCCGTCGGGCTGAACCGTAGGAGGCCAACAGCAGGGGGAGCCAAAGGCAATGGCAGGCAAGTTTTGACCCCATCTTCCTCCCTGGTGAGTTTTACAAGGGGTAAGAGGAAGGCCGCCAGCCAGGGACTGATTGTAAGAAGGCAGGGAGGTGGGAACGGCCTGGCGGAGGGCAGCCAGGGGTTAGTAGGGCACTGCCTCATTTGCCCCAAAGGGCCAGCATCCACTACACTTCATGTTTCCACCTTTCAGACTCCGGGGCCTTTAAATGAGCCCTGCCCTTCCTCCTCAAGGCCAGACAAGGACGGGGAACCGAACCCACAACCTCGTGCTCCACCGACTGAGCTATCCCAATGGGAACCAAGTCAGGGTCCACACCTATGTAGCCACCAAACCAGTTTTAGGGGTCTGCTCCTTGCGAACAAAGCCCCAAATAACTCTGGAGCTGATTACCTGAAGAATCACCTTCTTCTTCACTGCCTGGTAAGGGCACTACTAATGGAGTCCAGTTATTTATCGCCATGGCCTGATGCTTAGTTGAAAGCGGGCACAGGAGGAGGGCTTTTTCACTGGTGGCGCACACCTGGGAGGTCCCCCAACTTGGCCCGATAGAGATTTCTAGGGCCAACCCTGTTCTTCCAATTACCAATTGTTTTAACTGATTTTAATACTGTATTTTCGTATTGTTGCGACCTGCAGAAGGACCTTATGGTAGATAGATAAAAAAACACATCGGCTGGTGTGCGGCGCTAGTCCAACAATATCTGGAGGGCCACAGATTTCCTATCCTTGCCCTAGAGTGACCATTTAATAGAACAGTAGCGCTGGAAGAGACACCGAAGGACATCTAGTCCAACCCCCGGCGATGCAGGACTTTCAACTAAAACTGGCAGAAAATTCACACATGTTAAAGGTAAAGGTAAAGGGACCCCTGACCATTAGGTCCAGTCGTGACCGACTCTAGGGTTGCGGCGCTCATCTCGCTTTATTGGCCAAGGGAGCCGGCGTACAGCTTCTGGGTCATGTGGCCAGCATGACTAAGTCGCTTCTGGTGAACCAGAGCAGCGCACGGAAACACCGTTTACCTTCCCGCCGGAGCGGTATCTATTTATCTACTTGCACTTTGACGTGCTTTCGAACTGCTAGGTTGGCAGGAGCTGGGACCGATTAACGGGAGCTCACCCCGTTGCGGGGATTCGAACTACCAACTGTCTGATCAGCAAGCCCTAGGCTCTGTGGTTTAACCCACAGCGCCACCCGCGTCACACACATTACTGCTACCCAAACAAGGAAGTCTGATCAAATGAGCATCTATGCCCCCCATTTCACCACTGTGTTACCTTTTCCCATCACAGAAACAGAAAACGGTATCTAAGCACCTGAGCGAGATGAAAGTTTTTCCTCCCTTGAAACCAAGCCAGAGAAAATTCAGCAAACAGAGCAACAGAACTGTTGACCAATCTTATTCTAAGCAGGTGTGGGAAACCTCTGGCTCGCCAGGTGTCTCTGAACTACAACTCCCATCATCTTCCCTGGCTATGGCCACACTTGCAAGGAAGGATGGGAGCTTTAGTCCAGCAATGTCTGTAGGGCCACAAGTTCCCCACATCTGCTTTAATGCAAAGTCTGACCTCAGGGACAGTCAACCTGGTGCCCTCTGACTGATGTTGGGCTACAACTCCCATCAGTCCCTGCAACCATGGTCAATAGCCAGGGATGGTGGGAACTGTAGTTCAGCGACACCCAGAGGGCCCAAGCCAGCAGATGATGCGAGCTAAAACTCAGGGACATACAGAAGTCATCATCTTAGCCACCCTTAGTCTAACTCATATATGCTTCTAAAATCCTTTTGAAACCTGAATTTCATCTCTGGGAAACTCTAGTTTCAAGGAAGCCTCCATCTCCCTCTAAAGTTATTTGAGAACAGTTAGACACGGAACGATGTTTGACAACAATCTGAAATGAATGACTTCAAATTCATTTTTTCCCCATATATAAAACCTGAAAACCACTTCCCCCCTTCTTTTTTAAAAGAATGTACTACTTTGTGCTGAAGGTCAAAGGTTTGGGGACATACCTAGAGCCACCCGCAGATGTGCTCATTGCTACACGCTGTCCCCTGTTTAAGCAGGTGTTGGATTATGACAGAATAGAAAAAGTTACTTCAAGATCGTTTTTTTGAAACACTGCATTTTCAAAACTTCAAAAATTCAGACGGCAGATTCTCACATTTGAGTTCTGGGGTTTTCTGCTTCAAGAATTCAGCTCAACTCTTGGAGAAGAGAGGTGCCTGGTTCTCCTTACTTGAGGCATCAGTTCCATCTTCGGTCCAGATGCAGGCTAACAAGTCCCAGACATGATGGATGAGAAGATGCATATTCTGGACCGGTCCAGGTGTGTCTCAAAGCTAAAGCTGATGCAATGGAGGCAACCCTACTTTGCTTCAACGGGGCCAGGTGCCATGGAGAAATGCTTCTATACTTTTTCTGAAGGTGTCCAACTTCCCCCACTTTCCCAACCAGCTGGTGGAGGGAACCGCTGCTTAGGTCGGAGAGCACTTTGCTCAGGGGCACTTTGCATTTATTCCTGCACTTCCTACACCACCCGAGCTTTGACATTCAGAACAGACAGAGGCTGCATACACAAAGTGCCTTTGAAGCATACCCCACTCCAAGAAACCTGGGAACTGCAGTTTACCCTGCACAGCACTACAATTCCCAGCACCCATAACAAACTACAGTTCCCAGGATTCTTTGGGGAGGGGGGAAAATGTATGCACAGCCAGAGGTTGCTTTGTTCCATCACAGCTGTTCCCAGCATCATCTTCAGCTAGCCCTTATATTTCTGCTCACCCACCCAAGGGATTCCCCTTGGTCCTAGCTTCCCCTCTTATTCCCCTCCTGCTCCCAGAGCAGACACTAGTCTCTTTCCTAATAGCCAGCAGCCCCACAGACATGGTCCCTATCCCTGGGATCTCCAAGTCTGGAGGCATTTTCCACCACTTCTCACCAAAAAGGGCTGCTCCCCCCAAAATGGGGATGCCTCTTTAAAATACAACATCTGTACACTGTGTAGGCAGGCAAAGTGAGTGAAGTCAGTGAGGGGTTAACAGAGCATGTGGGACTTTACCTGCAAATTTCTCAAAGAACCAGAAAAGGCAGTGAATGGGGAGCTCACACCACTGAAAGCAGGGCAACCTGGAGCAAGTGGACTTCCTATTAGGTGGTGGCTGACCCACAATCCAAAAATCCAAGTCAAGTCATCACTTGATGGTGCAGTTGTCACATGATGTGTGCAGGTGTGGAGATGAGCCCTAGGCAACTGTGTGAGGGCTTCCCCCAGAGGTCTCTAGCCAGAGAGGACCAGAACTACTGTTTCATAAAGTAGGGGAGGGAGCCTCTCTCTCTCCTTGCCCCCCAACAGAATGGGTAGGTCCAGTGCAGTCTACCATCACCCTCATAGTAAAGGTAAAGGGACCCCTGACTATTAGGTCCAGTCTCTGGGGTTGCGGCGCTCATCTCATTTTATTGGCCGAGGGAGCCGGCGTACAGCTTCCGGGTCATGTGGCCAGCATGACTAAGCCGCTTCTGGCGAACCAGAGCAGCGCACGGAAACACCCTTTACCTTCCCGCCAGAGTGGTACCTATTTATCTACTTGCATTTTGACGTGCTTTCGAACTGCTAGGTTGGCAGGAGCAGGGACCAAACAACAGGAGCTTACCCTGTCGCGGGGATTCGAACCGCCGACCTTCTGATCGGCAAGTCCTAGGCTCTGTAGTTTAACCCACAGCGCCACCCGCGTCCCTATCACCCTCATAACCACAAATCTTAGGGTGCTTCCAGACCGTTGCTCTCTTTGAGCGGGGTCCAATCACATACCAGCAAATTCAGGTTCTAGAAATGCAGGAAGCTGACTCTTGGTCCATATAACCCAGTAATGGCAACACCAACCAGCAGCAGTGACCCAGGGTTTTAGACACAGGAGACGTTCCCAGCCCTTGCTGGAGACGTCGGGGATTGAACCTGGGACCTTCTGCATGCAAAGCAGATGCTCTGCCATTGAGCTACCTACCGCCTGGCCAATTATAGTGGGGAGGTCTTGCGCAGCAAACCTGCTTCCCCTAAAGACTGGAGTTTTTGCAATAAGGAAAGTAACAGTGAAAACACACTGGAAGGGCAATGCTTCCTTTGAGGCATTGTCTAACCACCCTACAAAAAAATCAGGATGAATGCAACATGAATGCAACATAAACAGGTAATCTAGAAGGGCCCCATGTCGATTCATCCTATGAGTTTTCATTGATTAAATGGTCAGCCAATTAAATTTGCATAAATATGCCCAGGAAATATGCCCAGCAGTGAAAGTGGGGGGTGGGGAGGGGAAAGAAAGAATGTCATGTCTCTTGTTGGAAGAAGCATTCCCAGATGTGGGAGAAGAGGGGAAATATTATAAATTAACCTAAATATATCTATTTTTTAAAGTGTGGCATTAATCCAAAGAAGGCACCCTTTTAACTGAGCTAAAAGGATTTTGAAAAGAAGTGCTTCCCCCAATCAGGCCAAGACCCTTTGCAGCCCTAATTTGCAACTGGATCCGCTTGCCAGTTAAAGTCCAGACTTGCTACCAAGTAAATGTGACTGGGATCCCACCTGCACAGCCCCTTCCTCCTGGGCAGGCTTACTCAGAAAGCAATCCCCGGGAAGGGGGGCTTTATAGCCAAGCAAACCTGAAAGAATACTAGAATTGCAGAATTGGAAGGCACCCCAGAGTCATCTAGTCCAACCCCCTGCAATGCAAGAATCTCCACACACAGGTCCCCCATCCGATTTGAAACCAATCTGAAAGGGGGGTGGGCTTCCGACGCTACACCCCATTATGGCTTACTCCCCTGATTACATAAAGTAATTCGGAGCAGGGATCACAGCTGTGCGTCCTCGGCAAGATGCGCACGCTCAAAGGTTGCTCGCTGGGGCTCTCTTCCCCCGTCCACCCGAGGGCAGCCAGGGTCTCACTGCGCGCTCCTCGGGGCTTAACCCGCCTCAGTTTCCCCTCTTGGCGGCGGGCGCGGCGGGGGGCGTGAGGTTCTCGGTGAGATAGGCGACCAGGAGGCAGATGAAGACGAGCATGACGCAGATGGAGCCCCCGACGGCCGTCATGGCGACCACGATCTCCCGCATGCCGGCCGGCTCCACGGTGAACTCCACGCATTCCGGAGGCCACCGGAGAGGAGGAGCAGAATCAGGATCGGTGCCGTTGGCGGTGGCAGCAGCGGCGAAGAGGGGCTGCAAGCAGAGGCGGTAGCGGACGCTGCCGTGCGCGTCCTGCAGCAGGTAGTCGCGGCAAGCGGCGCCCAGCTGGACGCGGTCGCACTGGAAACGCGTGTAGGCGCCTTCCCACGAGCACGAGAGCGAGAAGCCGCGCAGCAGGCCGACCTCGGCCGAGGAGGTGGGAGCTTCGGCTCCCTCGTCGTCGCCGTCTTCTTCCCCCTCGGCCAGCAGGGGAGGCCAGCCCCACTGCAGGAGGACGCTGCCGTTGAGGAGCACGTTGGCCAGCAGGGCGCGCCCGGGCGAGCGGTGCGCTTTGCAGCTCCGCGGCGCGCACTGGAAGCCCCGCGCCCGGCTGCGGAAACACAGGCGCCCGCCCTGCGCCCCCGAGGCTCCTCCGCCGCCGTCGGGGCCTTCGCTCAGCACCTTGTACGGGCACCACGGGTCTCCCTCCGCACCCGCGTCCTCGGCGCCTCCAAGCGGCGGGTCCCCGTGCGCGCCGCGCGGCTCCGAGGCTCCCCAAGCCGTCGGGACGCCTCCCGGCCGCGGCGCCCGGCCCAGGCCGAGCAGGGCGAGCAGCAGGAGCCGGAGAAGCATGGCTGGCGCCGGGGCATGGAGGAGCAGGAGCACGAGCAGCGCGGGGGAAACGGCTTTCCCGGGCCGGGATCCGGCGCGCTCTAGCGGGGCTTGGGCGCAAAGGGAAGCCCCGGCCGGAGGCAGGCCGAGGCGGGACCCCGGCGACCTCGGCTTTCCCGGGCAAACGGCAGGGACATTTTCAAAGTGCCAACTTGAAGAGGGCGAGGCGGCGGCGCTGGCGCCGGCGGTGGCGCCTCCTTTCGGGTGGGATCCGGGAGGTTCGGGCGCCGCCCAGCGGCCCTCCTCCTCCCGGCGGCGGCGCGGTTAACTCTCGCTGGGTCTGGGAGGTGGAATCGGAGAGAAGAAGGGGTGCGCGTGGGAACCATTAAAAGTGCATTTTGTATAGAGGCAGTGTGGTGTAGTAGGTAGAGTGCCACCCCTGCGAGACCTGGGTTCGAATCCGGCCTTGGCTCTGAAGTGTTGGGCCAGCCCCTCGCTCTCTGCTTAGCCTACCTCACAGGGTTGTGCAGCTTGTTGTTGTTTAGTCGTGTCCGACTCTTCGTGACCCCATGGATCAGAGCACGCCAGGCACTCCTGTCTTCCACTGCCTCCCGCCGTTTGGTCAAACTCATGCTGGGAGCTTCGAGAACACTATCCAACCATCTCGTCCTCTGTCGTCCCCTTCTCCTTGTGCCCTCCATCTTTCCCAACATCAGGGTCTTTTCCAGGGAGTCTTCTCTTCTCATGAGGTGGCCAAAGTATTGGAGCCTCAGCTTCAGGATCTGTCCTTCCAGTGAGCACTCAGGGCTGATTTCCTTCAGAATGGATAGGTTTGCTCTTCTTGCAGTCCATGGGACTCTCAAGAGTCTCCTCCAGCACCATAATTCAAAAGCATCAATTCTTCGGAGATCAGCCTTCTTTTCTTTATGGTCCAGCTCTCGCTTCCATACATCACTACTGGGAAAACCATAGCTGTAACTACAGTGGTACAGGGTTACATACGCTTCAGGTTACAGACTCCGCTAACCCAGGAATAGTACCTCGGGTTAAGAACTTTGCTTCAGGATGAGAACAGAAATCGTGCTCTGGCGGCACGGCAGCAGCAGGAGGCCCCATTAGCTAAAGTGGTGCTTCAGGTTAAGAACAGTTTCAGGTCAAGAACGGACCTCCGGAACAAATTAAGTACTTAACCCGAGGTACCACTGTATATGGACCTTTGTTGGCAAGGTAAAGTCTCTGCTTTTCTGCAAAGTCAGTGAGGTCATATCCAGAGCTGGTTCCAGAGTAGAGCTGCTGAAGCTGTTTTGATTTATGCCACAGAACCAATCAATCACATGATGGGGCGCAAACACACCTTTTGAATGACAATGCCCATGAACTTGGGATGGGGGGGGGAGCGGCCCCCTGAAATATTTCAGGGAGTGAGTTAAGAGACCTCGGCCCCTAGGAGTTGGCTTCTATGCAAGGTTTATATATCCCTCGCAGAACACTACAACTTCAGGACTTCTTATGAAACTGAATGTCGACAGACAAAAAAGAAAGCGCTTATTCACCAAGTGTGTACTTTAACCTGTGGAACTCACTCCCACAGGAAGCCTTGTCGGCCCCCAACTTGGATGGCTTTAAAAGAGGATTAGACCAATCCATGGAGAAGGCAGCAATGCTTCTGAATACCGGCTGCTGGAAACCACAGGAGGGGAGAGGGATCTTGTGCTCAGATCCAGCTTGCAGGCTTCCCAGAGGCTTCTGGTTGGCCACTTACTGTATTTTTCGCTCCATAAGACACACCTGACCATAAGACACACATAGTTTTTAGAGGAGGAAAACAAGAAAAAAAATATTCTGAATGAAACAGTGGATATATGATTTTTGTGGTTCATGCTGTGGCCACAGACATGTGATCTGATGGTGAATTTGCGGTGACCCGATGCAAAAATCCTGAGGATCCATGTGGACCCGTGCTCTGTAACCATGTTCTTGTGCCACTGTGGCCCCACGCAATGGTGGATGCGTGATTTTTTTTTGGTGCAGGCTGTAGCCATGGACATGCTATGTGATCTGATGGTGAATTTGGGGTGACCCAATGTAAAAATCCTGAGGATCCATGGGCTTTTACCTCCCCACTCCCAGGCAGCCTCCGCTAGCGTCCCTTATCTCTCTCCCCGATTGGCAAACAATCAGCGGCTTTGTTTCAACACCCACTTCCCTCTTTCAAAAAAAAAAGCATGATCTGCTTTTTGCCCCTGGGCAATTTGGCTCCAGGAACAACACATTCACTCCATAAGACGCACAGACATTTCTCCTTCCTTTTTAGGAAGAAAAAAGTGCGTCTTATGGATCAAAAAATACAGTATGAGAACAGGATGTTGGACTAGATCAGGATGTTTGGCCTGATCCAGTAGGCTCTTCTTAGGTTCCTATCCACTCCTAGAGGGGTCTTGTCAACCTGGGGAGCCCATCTAGGAGATACATTTGGGAGAAGGACCAGGCTAAGGAGTAAACCCTCTCCAAATCTGGAGCCCCTAACACGGTTGGATGGTGCCTTGTACGCTTCCTTCTGGCAACTCCTGCAGCCAAGCCTGTGCCAAATGTATTGCTTTGCTTTCCTCTGGACCACATCAACAAGGCCAAGAATGGGGTCTTGTCGTCTAGGCAGCCCAGGACTCCATACACACTGCCCTGGCTTGCATCTCAAGGAAGTCACTTTGATGCTGCTAACACAGTGGTTTGACTTCACTCCTGGAGTATCAGGAGTTCAGCCTACACTTGAGTAGGACCCTGGCAGAGACACATGCCCGACTGGCATGTTCCCTCCCTCCTGGTTGATTGTTCGCGAGCTTCAAAAGCTTGCTTCAGCCTGAACATCACAGCGACCGATGCCAACCGACACCAGCACACTTAGGGATCTGCAGAGTTTGTGCATCATGCGTAACAGACCTCAGCAACTCAGCATATTGGCGAATCGACTTTATTTACATATAAACACACACGGACCTCTGCAGCATGGCTTCCTCTCTCTCTAGCAAAAAGAAAAAGAAATCATTATCCATTCTCGTGATAGAAAGATGCCAGCGACAACATCTGCTCCTAGGGTGAGGACGCCTGAAGGGTTTTCGAATCCACCATGTCTTACCATAATCTTAAAATCATCTTTCTGCTACCAGCTCCATTCTAGTTGCATAAATGGGGTTTGGGGGGGGGGTGCGAGGGGGAATGTAATGCATTTGGAAAACCTTGTTGCGTGTCTAGCAAGGGCTGCGTTTGGCTTGCCAGGTCACAGTCTGAACAGAGTCGTTTCCCCTCTTGCTTCCTATTCCTATTTAATGCCCATTTAGAGAGGGAGAGAATTCAGCAGAAGAAGAAGAAAAAGAAATTGCCCAAGCAAAACATTGCACCTTGCAGTGGCTGCTTTGACAAATGTCTGTTCTTCCCTTCCAACCGCCTCTTGGCTGCTCCGGGTGACCTGCTCTGCCCAGGGAACATCGAGCTCCCTGCAAAAAGGCTCATTAATAAAAGATCGCTGGGGACACGGGGCCGTCTCGCTTGCAAATGAAGCCAAATTTAGAATACAGTCTGTCTAATGGGCCACAGCAGATTTGCTGGGTCAAGCCAAGAGTTCGTGCAGCAGGGTGTTTCCTGCCCCCTGCGCTGAAACTGCTCAAAAGAGAGGGATCGTGGTTCAAATGGCTGGATACGTGCTTGGCGTGCAGAAGGCACCTGCTTGAATCCTTGGCGTCGCCTGCTGAAACACTGGCAGGGAATGGAAAAAAACACTCTCTCCCTGAGGTCCAGAGTAGACTGAAAGTGACCCTTGATATTTCTCCATCTGTCCCTCCAAGCTCTTCTCCAGGTCATAACCCTTCCCAGCCCTGCTTTACATGCAAAGTATTTTTATTTTTTTAAATCTGGCTGCAATGTCTCCTTGAACTCTGATAATGCCTCTTGCATTTCTGGATGGAGACTAGAGATGGGGCAAGGGATGTAGCTCAGTAGTAGAGCACCTGTCTTGAACACAGAATAGGTAAAGGTAAAGGAACCCCTGACCATTAGGTCCAGTCATGGCCGACCCTGGGGTTGCGGCGCTCATCTCGCTTTATTGGCCGAGGGAGCCTGCATACAGCTTCCGGGTCATTTGGCCAGCATGACTAAGCCACTTCTGGCAAACCAGAGCAGCGCACAGAAACGCCGTTTACCTTCCCGCCAGAGCAGTACCTATTTATCTACTTGCACTTTGACGTGCTTTCGAACTGCTAGGTGGGCAGGAGCAGGGACCGAGCGATGGGAGCTCACCCCATCACGGGGATTCGAACCGCCGACCTTCTGATCAGCAAGTCCTAGGCTCTGTGGTTTAACCCACAGCGCCACCTGCATCCCTGCACACAGAATACCTCAGGGTCAATCCCCAGGACCTCCAAATAATGCTGGGAGAGACTCCTGCCTGAAACTCTGGAGAGCTGGTGCCAGTTGGTGTAGGTCAGGGGTCAGCAAACTTTTTCAGCAGGGGGCTGGTCCACTGTCCCTCAGACCTTGTGGGGTTCCGGACTATATTTGGGGGGGAATGAACGTATTCCTGTGCCCCACAAATAACCCAGAGATGCATTTTAAATAAAAGTACACATTTTCTTTTCTTTTCTTTTAATAAATACATCTTTATTGGTTTAAAATACAATCTTACAATAAAGGGAAGTACAACAAAGTTAAGCACAGAAAAGAAAAAGAAAAAATAAAAGAGAGGGGGAAAATTCTCCACATCAAAAAATACAAAAAAATTAAAAGTAACAAGAAAAGAAAAAGGAAATAACAATTAAAAGCACCAGATATTTATTCAACATCATGTCTTAGCCAGTAATGTCTTCTGTAAAAAGCTTCCAATCATTCTTAAAAATAAAAAAATTAAATAAATAAAAGCACACATTCTACTCATGTAAAAATCCCAGGTGGGCCCCACAAATAACCCAGAGATACATTTTAAATAAAAGGACACATTCTACTCATGTAAAAACACATCATCCGTGGGCTGGATTGAGAAGGCGATTGGGCCGGATTCGGCCCCTGGGCCTTGGTTTGCCTACCCATGGTGTAGGCGGTACTGAGTTAGATCGCCCTGTGGTCTGGCACAGTATAAAGCTCCTATGTGCTTGCATGTCTATAGAAACCAGCCTAGTGTGCCAAGATGACATTTGCATTCCTTTCTTTGCCCAATGCTGGCATGTGGCCCTTGGGAGTTTGGCTAAAAGGAAATGCTGGCAAAG